GTCGTGATTATTTTGCAATCTCGATAAAGGTCGTGATATTATATGCAATTTTGCCTAAATGAAAAGATACCAGTAAATCAAAAGTGATTACCAACAAAATTGGGAAGATCACAAAAGATTAATAAACACAAAAAAAATTGAAGAAAAGGAATGAATTCCAGTTTCATATTAGCCAAAAATTGGTCGTACAATGAAGAAAGTCTCCCAAGTCTGATCGTCCTTGAACACTGTTAAATCCGTATTTTTGTTTAATTTTTATTTTGCTTTTCTGATTTGTTTTTTTTTTTGTGTATATATTTTTTTATTAGTTGTTTTATATTTAGTATATTATTATTGTGATAAAAAGTTTCCTTCTCTTAATAGGATTTTACTAGGAAATAAGAGATTAGGAAGGAAAAGGAGACCAAAAAGATGAGGAAGAATGAGAGAGCATAAAGTTTTTGAGGTCTTCCAATTGAAATAGGATCATTACATTTATTTGCTGGGCATTGGCGTGAAGAAAAAGATTTCAGCACCAATTTACTTGAGTCTTGGAGGAGCAGCTTGATCTCTTTTGATTGGAATTTATTTTTGGAGAAGCACAGAGAAAAGCAAACGGGAGCAGTTTTATTTATTTGGCTTGGAAACATATTCAGACAATTCGGCTTTGATTTTTCTTATTTTCTTTAGCATGATTTATTTGATGATTTTGATGTGATATAGTTCATATAATTATCAAACTCGCGTTTTGTGTTTTTCGTAGTTCACTAGATGTTTTGAATTGGATGAAAAACTTTGTGATTAATTTGATCTAGTGGAATTTTGGCATGTCGCCTTGGTCTACAAGTATTTTAACTTGTAGACTAAATTTTGAATCTATTCGTGTTTATTTATTTTCCGCTGCGTATTTTAATTTCTGATTTTCGTGTGAAATCTGGATATTTACGTACCTAAAATTCTAACAAGTGGCATCAGAGAAGGTCGCTTAATTTAATAAGTGTGATTCTGTCTTGATAGGTACTCATGGAGTTCACCGGAACTTCACTTTTTCGGCCTCCGATTCTCGATGGCTCAAATTACACCATTTGGAAGATGCGCATGACGTCCTACATCAATTTCTTACCGGATGGGAGCCTCCTACCAAAGAAGTTGAAGGGGTGAAACACGAGAAAAATGAAGCTGAATATAGTACAGGTGAGAGCTCGTCGCCCAACTTCAATTCAAAAGCACTCAATGCAATTTTTGGCACGATCGATGAGAACATGTTTCGCTTAATTAGCACGTGCACTACTGCCAAAGATGCATGGGACACCTTGCAACGTCATTGTGAGGGTTCAAAGAGTGTTTGTCAAACGAGGTTGCGACTCCTTGCAGCAAAAATCGAGACAATTCGGATGCTCGAAAATGAGAACATCTCGTCATACACGGCCAAGTTGATGAATATTGCGAACGAGTGCTACTCTCTTGGAGAACCGATCTCGAATGAAAAGCTCGTGGCGAAAGTAATGAGATCTCTTCCAAAGCGCTTCAACATGATGATCACGGCGCTTGATGTCTCGAAGGTCTGGTTAGCAGATAGTGAAAGAGAAGTACTATCCTTCTTACTATAGAGCTCAGATGGAACGAGAGTTCCTAGAACTGGAGCAAAAAGAAAGAAGTGTCGATGAATATGAGCGAGAATTTACTCGCTTAGCATTCTTCGTACCATATCTTGCAGATACGGATGCAAAAAGAGCAAGAAGGTTCAGGGACGGATTGAGAGATGTCATCCGCAACAATCTTGCAGGACATGGAGAGTTGTCCTATGTTGAGACTGTTTCAAGAGCTCAACAAATTGATGCCAGCATAAAGCATAAGTCCCGACGAGTTCCTAGGACAACAGTTAATCCACCGGCTCAGCCACTATGCATCAAATGCCTAATCAACAGGCAAATGCTAAAAACAAGAGAAAATAGAGGGCTCGCCAGGATGAAAGGAGAAACCGCTTTAGAGGCCAAGGACAAGCAGGTCAACAACTACAACCGGTGCCGAATTGCGGTACTTGTGGAAAACCACATAGAGGAGAATGTTTAGTTGGACGTGATATTTGTTATTATTGTAGAAGGCCAGGCCACAATGCACGTAACTGCCCAGATAGAGGGCAGAATCAACAGGGTCAACATCAGCAGGCTCAAAACAATCAGATGCAGGCAAGGCATGCAAATGTGTATGCTCTTAATCAAGCAGAAGTTGAAGAACGCCTAGGTACTATGTCTGGGATATTAATATTGAATAATGTACCATTTTTTTGCATTATTTGACGCAAAATTACAAAAATGGCCCATTATGTTGGCAATTTTCCGGAAAAGGTCCATCATATAGGGTGTCATCAATAATGGTCCACTAAATTGTCACTTTTAATCAAAACTCGTACAATTGCCAACATAGTGTACTAAAAGTGATAATCACTTTTAGTACACTATGTTGGCAATTGTACGAGTTTTGATTAAAAGTGACAATTTAGTGGACCATTATTGATGACACCCTATATGATGGACATTTTTTCAGAAAATTGCCAACATAGTGGACTAAAAATAAAATTTAGCCCATTATTTGATATTGGAGCAACCCATTCATTTGTCTCGGATAAATGTTTAGAAGCAATAAAAACTAAAGGAGTGAGTACAGTTGATCTTCTTGAGATAAGTTTAGCCTCAGGAAAGAAAATTGTTAATAACTCCATAATAATGAATCTTTACATAAGTATTGGAGGAAGAATTCTAGAATCCAATGCTTATGTAATTGAGATGAGGGATTTTGACCTCATATCTGGTATGGATTGGTTGGATAGATATCATGCAGATATTCGATGTCGTGATAGAGAAGTGACCCTCAAATTAGATGAGGATAATTACATCACGTTCTTTGGAGCCAAGTCAAGGACGTTACCACGTGTAATATCTATGGCGAATGCAACCAAGTCTTTGCGAAAGAAGGATTGCCAGGGTTATCTGGTGAGCTTAGTTGAAGAAAATTCGAAAAAGAAGAAACCCGAAAGTATCCTTGTATAATAAGGAAATTTTTGGACATTTTTCCGGAACAATTACTAGGAGTACCACCGGGCAGACAAGTGGAATTCACCATAGATCTGGTTCTTGGAGCAACACCAGTATCTAGAGCACCGTACAGAATGGCGCCAAAGGAGCTCAAGAGTTAAAAGTTCAAATTCAAGAGTTGTTGAAATTGGGATTCATTCAACCCAGCGTTTCACCAAGGGGAGCACCTGTCCTATTTGTCAAGAAGAAGGATGGGTTAATGCGTATGTGCATTGATTACCGGGAGTTGAACCGGTTAACAGTAAAGAATAAGTATCCGCTTCATAGGGCAGACAGTTTATTTGATCAATCAAGAGGTGCCAGTATTTTCCAAGATAGATTTACGTTCTGGTTACCATCAGTTGAAAATAAAGAAGAATGACGTAGCTAAGACTGCGTTCAGGACGAGATACGGTCACTATGAGTATTTAGTGATGCTGCTTGGAGTAAATAATGCACCAGCAGTATTCATGGATCTCATGAATCGGGTATTTCAACCATATTTAGATCAGTTTGTTATCGTTTTTATTGATGATATATTGGTCTATTCTAAGAGTGAGGACAACACTGAAGAGCATTTACGTGTTGTTCTGGAGACACTTAGAAAAGAGAAGCTATATGCTAAACTAGTGTGTATCCCGTGTGATGCACGGACTGACTTTTTACTTAAAACCTTTTCTAAGACTTTATATTAAACATAGTTATTTATGTTTCACATCTCATTATTGTAAGAAAAAAAATACCAAATATAAAAAATTATATATTATTTATTTGAATATACAACCAAACTAATAACATCCTATATGATAAAATTAATTATATGATCGTCATACTTTTTGAAAAAAAAAAAAATCATCAATTAAGTTGAACTATCCGAATATAAAAAATAATATGTGATATCATTGACCATATTTACTCGTTGTATTTAAAGATATCATTGACCATATTTTTATGAATTAAGGTTTAAAAATATCTTTTTCTTTTTTTTTTTCGAAACGATAGAAGATATTATAAATTAAAAAGCGCAAATGCGCGAATACACAACAGCCAACGGCTGAATACACAACAGCCAACAACTGAAAAAAATGGGAGGACAGGTCCTAAGACCGCCTAGAATACCGTCTAGCAAAGCTAGAATAAAAAAAAAAAAACACTACTAAAACAACTACGAAACCCCCACAGGGTAATACTCGAAAGTCAAAGCCCAACAGGGTAATACCCGAGTGTCGGACCCCAACAGGGTAATAAAGTGACACTCGAACACACAAATTGACCCTCGGGCGCACAGAGACCAAACGGCCCAGACCAAAAACACAATAACAACACAACCTACAAATAAAAATACGAAACTACCAAACAAAACAAACAAAAGCAACAAAACAAAACAAGCCCTTCCAAAGCAACGACACCTAATCGAACCAATGGATACGAAGCGACTAAGAATGCCAAAGCTGGACGAACCGACACCGAAACTGCCCAAACTACTCGGTTGCCTAACGGAGCCGAAATTTTAACCCTGGAACCCCACCAAGCCACCCCGCACCACGACCACGACACCTGAAAGCCCCGAAAGGAGAAAAGGGTACCGCGGCCCTAGCCCCAACCCCAAACCGCGCTGGAAGCTGTCCAAAGTCACCGCCCGCCGCATCCCACTCCGACCAATACCACTGGCAGAAGACTGGACATGGAGACCCCTGCAAAACAAATGCCGAGAACAAGGAGGAAAGACATCGAACATCAACTACGACCCAATCGCCCAACCCAAAAGGGCGCCGAGCAATTGAACCGTGTCCCGCCCCCGGAACCGCACCGCGGCTCCACCACCTACCAACAAAGAAGCCGACAACTTGAATTGACGAGTCAATCGCCGAAAAAGACGAAGACCTCTCGCCATCGCTGGGCCTCAACTCCATTGAATCGGGTAGCAGAGCGGAATAGAAGGGGCAGGAATCCAGACGGTCAAGGGCCGGCGACCGCCGGCGAAGCTCGGCTGCAACTCTGGAAGGCCGACAGAGGAAAATCGGAGGAAGCGAAGTTAAAGATTTGGGGGCGAGGGTTTTTTCTTTCGGAGGAAGCGAGACCGTCAATGTTTTGATTTTCCTATACAAAATATCTTTTTCAAAATAACAATTTTTTAATTTGAATTTGACCTTTTCATCCAACAGCCATTTTCCAACAAAAAAAAAATAAAAAACTAAAATAGTATTTTGGAAAATTTTAGACATGAAAGTCAAATAAAATTAATTTAATAGTAATCGATTAATTTGATAATATTCAAAATTGTTTGATTCGGTCATAACCAAATTTGATTAGGCTTATCAACTGAAATCAAATTTTATACCTAAAATAGTATACCTTTTGTTTGATTTTCCCACAACAAAAAAGATCATTCTTATCACCTTAAACCCGATCCAACTTATTTTAGATTTTAAATATATATTAAGCAAATAATAGATGGAATCCACAATAAACTTAAAGCAAATAATAGTTGAAATTTTAAATAAATTTTAAGAAATAAAATATTATTTTATAGTCAGTTTAATGAATGGACTATTGGTTCTTTGGTCTTTAATAGTACCAAAAACCGGAGCTATATTGAATTATTGGGGAAAGGTAAAATAAAGAGAGTATTGTTCGTGTGTTTTCACTTAGCGCGTGTTCTCAATAGCTGCTACAGACGAGTATATATAGTGATTATATGTGTGCAAAAAATTTACATTTTCTTTTAATATATTATTTTCGAATATTGCTTGATATCACATAGATGTAGGATTCTATCCAATATAATAATTATTGATTTGAATGTTTCAAATTAACACCCCATTGAGAAGTAAATTATCAGATCTTGGAAGATAATTAAATTGTGATATTTACACTAAAGAAAGTAAATAAAGTTTTGATATTTTATGACGTGTTTTATACTGGACGCGTAAAATATTTTGATAAATAGTAAATAGAATCATTTAGTTTTAGGAATGGTTATATCAATTAGCATGTTAAATAAGACTCAAAATCCGTAATTATTTTATTCCCAATTAGATATACTTTTCAGTTATTCGAAAAAAATAATTAGAGGCAGAATCATTTTGTAGATTTTATATTATAAAAAATCTAATTTTTTAAGGAATTTTGTATTTCATTTTTTAATTCTTTGTGATATGTATCATATATTATATTATATTTGTGATTTTGTTTTGTTGAACAAATGTATAAATGTATTATTATATTTTTATACGTGAGGTGTATCATAGAATAAACCAAGTTATTTTTTTTAAGAACAAAAAAAATAAAATAAAAATCATTTCAATTTGTAAATTGGCAGAATCGATAAAATATTTTATCCACTATTACTTCGAATAAGTTATTCATACACGCATGGAATCGCATCCAATCCAATTGCTTTGAAAAATTATTATGCACAGCAGATAACATACAAAATATTTAATAAACAATATCCGCGATTTTATTGGTTACTAAATTTCATGAACGGTACATGTGAAAAAATCAAAAAAATTTGCCGAAAAAATGGTTTAAAACAAAAAACAGAAGTGGGAAAATGACATAAAAAAAGGGGAAAATGAAAACTTTTTTTTTTTAAATTTTTTCATAATTTATCTTAGCCGTATTATATAGTAATAGATTCTCTAAAACACGGCTAGGCAACTATGCTTAACTCGCAAACACACCGAATTATCTGCCCCCATAGGATTATCAAGAATATGCTTATCAAGAAGGTGTAGCATCCTCCGTCGATCAACCACAAAATTTGTCGATTCCCATAGGATTATTAAGAAAGTGAACCACGAAATCGATCGACTCCCATAGGATTATCAATTAGGTGATAAATGTTGCGTCTTTATTTCGTGTGGGTGGTGAAAACTGTTGGGCTCAGATGCGCAATGCAGAAGATGTAAATTAAAATATCAAGGTAAAATAGTGAACAATAATCCCAATCCCATCAACTCAAGTATGACAAAAGAAAATCTCTTGCAATAAAATAGGAATAATTCTTTTCTGATGTGGAAGATCATATTAAACTGCAACCACAAAGCATACTAAGAATATCCCAAATAAATAAAATATGCAAAAAATAAGACACCAAGATTTTACGTGGAAAAAACTCCAATTAGAGGAAAAAACCATGAGACAACCTCCGAACAATTCCACTATATTTTCAAGATAACTACAATATCTTTTCACACTCCCCTACACTAGAAATGTAAAATATAGTGACCCAGTGAAACACCACTCCTAAACAAGGAATAATAGAGTTGATACCCAACCCGGTGTATTTTTCTCACACCCACAGGATTTACTCAAACACTCTATTTTATCACTGAAAAATAACACACACAGAAATATTTTTCTACTCTCTCTTATTCTCTCTTTTTTTCTTCTGCTTGGTGCAATTTCTTCTGCTGCCCGATGCCATCTATTTATAGATCAGGGAAAGGCTCAATTTATCATAATTGACAACCTACCATTGTTTAAAATATGTTTAGCAGAGAAAGATTCCAACCACTTTTGGTTGTTTGTTTGTTTGACACATGGTTTGATGGACAACTTTTGGCTGGATCTGACAATTCTCCCCCTCCAGCCAAAGGGTAATATTCTGCAACTCTTCACATGCATTTAATGCTGATCAACTCGGCACAAAGCTGAAGCTTTCCTCCTGTTACAACTTTCGTCATCATGTCAGCAGGGTTTTTGTCAGTGTGAATCTTTTCCAACATGAACTGTTGTTCTTCCATTGCTTGACGTAGCCAATGATATGTGACATCAATGTGCTTCGTGCGAAAGTGGTACATCGCATTCTTACTCAAATCCAATGCGCTTTGTCTATCGCAATGGATATCGTACCTTTCCTGCTTCATTCCCAATTGTTGAAGAAACCTCTTCAACCAAAGCATTTCTTTTCCTGCTTCTGTCATTGCAATATACTCTGCTTCAGTAGTCGACAAGGCTACAGATTTCTGCAATTTAGATTGCCAAGATACAGCTCCCCCTGCAAATGTAAACACAAACCCTGAAGTAGATTTTCTACTGTCTAGGTCACCTGCCATATCCGCATCTGTATAACCTTCAAGAATTGGGTTTTTTCTGCCAAAGCACAAGGACTTATTTCCACTGCCTTTTAGGTACCTCAAGATCCACTTCACAGCTTCCCAATGATCTTTCCCAGGATTAGAAAGATACATGCTAACAATTCCAACCGCATAAGCGATATCTGGACTTGTACAGACCATGGAATACATCAAACTCCCGACTGTTGAAGAGTATGGAACCCCCGCCATAGCTTCTTTTTCTTCTTAACTCGTAGGACAACTTCGTTTACTGAGTTTGAAGTGATTGGCCAACAGTGTATTGACTGGCTTAGCTGATTTCATGTTGAATCTCTCCAGAATCCGATTCACATACCGTTCCTGCGACATCCATAATCTCTTGAATTTTCGGTTTCGCATGATCTGCATGCCCAAAATTTGTTTCGTAGGGCCCAGATCCTTCATATCAAAGGAATTTGCTAATTCCTTCTTTAAATCACTAATCAGCTTCATATCATGTCCCACTATCAACATATCATCTACATATAACAAAAGGACAATGAATTTATCACCTGGAAATTTCTTAACGAACACACAATGATCTGCATCAGTCTTGGTATATCCATGGCTCGCCATAAACGAGTCAAATTTCTTATACCACTGTCTTGGAGCTTGTTTCAGTCCATACAAGCTCTTCTTCAATCTGCAAACCATGTGATCCTTTCCAGTCTTCTCAAATCCTTTTGGTTGCTCCATGTAGATTTCTTCATCTAGGTCTCCATGAAGAAATGCAGTCTTCGCATCTAGTTGTTCAAGCTCTGGATCCAAGCTAGCCAACAATCCGAGTACTACTCGAATAGAGCTCATCTTTACAACCGGAGAGAATATCTCATCAAAATCTATTCCTCGCTTTTGTCCAAATCCTTTCACGACTAAGCGAGCCTTGTACTTCAACAGCTTGTCACCATCTTTCTTAAGCTTGAACACCCATTTATTCTTCAAGGCTTTTCTGCATTCCGAAAGCTTCACAAGCTCATAAGTTTCATTTTTCATCAGCGAATCCATTTCTTCTTGCATGGCTTTCATCCACTGGTATTTATCCTTATGAGTTTGTACTTCTTCAAAGCTTTCTGGATCTCCTTCTTCAGTGATGGTAATATACGTGGAACTAGGGTATCTCGTAGATGGTTGGATCACTCAGTTTGATCTCCTAAGCTGAGGTGGAGCTTCGAGGTCTTCTTGCTCGACACCTTCACCATCACCATCTTCCATTGCTGGCTCATCATCAACCCTGAGTTCTCCATCACACTCTCCCCCTGCTGTGGCATCTCTAGGAGGTTTGACAGGTGAAAGATCCACCTTACACTTGGTTCTCTTGTTTCTGGTGAAGCAAAATCAGACATAGTTTCTTGCTCATGGAACACTACATCTCTGCTTCTGATAATTTTTCGATTTTCTGGATCCCATAATCTGTAGCCAAATTTCTCATCTCCATAGCCCAAAAATATACACGGAATGGCTTTATCATCAAGTTTTCGTCTCTGTTCATTGCTTACGTGAGCAAAAGCTTTGCATCCAAACACCTTTAAATGAGAGTATTTAACATCATGTCCGGACCATACTCTCTCAGGGATATCAAAGCCTAAAAGAACAAATGGAGATCGGTTGATCAGGTAGCACGCTGTTAGAACAGTTTCACCCCAAAATGGCTTAGGTAGCTTAGCCATTCTTAACATACACCTCACTTTCTCCATAATGGTTCTGTTGATTCTTTCAACCACACCATTATGTTGTGGGGTTCAAGGTACAGTCTTCTCATGCCTAATGCCACGCTCGACACAATAATTCTTGAATTCATGGGAAGTATACTCGCCCCCATTATCTGAGCGAAGACACTTTAAAGGTTTACCAGCCTGTCTCTCCACCATAGCATGAAACCTTTTGAAGTATTGAAAAACTTTCACCCTTCGTTCTCAAGAAATACACCCACAATTTTCTTGAAGCATCGTCAATAAATGTCACGAAATATCTGCTACCACCGAGAGTCTCCACT